CAGAGTATTCTGCATTGCAAAGAAATTTTAAAGAATTCGTTAAGATTTAACTCGATTTTTTGCCGAATTTTCTAAAATTAAATAAATTACGCACACTTCCATTCTTTTACGAAATTTCGGAAGAAAATCTGTGAAGCAACGAAAATAATGCTGCTATGTGAAGAATATCTTTCAGAATTTTTCCAGAATTTTCTTTATTTTTCGTACAGAAATTTCTTTACGAGTTCGTGTCAACCCCTTCATATAATTTTCTTTGAAAATTCGTAAAAAAATCGTTACAGAAATCAGATACTCCTAACGCCCTGCAAACCATTTTTTCAGAGTATTCTGAATCGTAACGAATTTTTAAAGAATTCGGAAAGATCCCATCCGATTTTTTGCGGAATTTTCTAAAATTAAATAAATTACGCACACTTCCATTCTTTTACGAAATTTCGGAAGAAAATCGGTAAAGAAATGAAAATAAAAAATGGTTTGCAGGGATGTAAAAAACAAATACATAAGCAAGCTTTCAGCGTCAAATGATTTAAGGGTAAAATTGACAAATAAACTTAAAGGAAATAAAGAAATCATCAAAAAAAAAATGTCATCCCTCCCATTAAAGCTTACAGGCTAACCTAATATTCGCGGCTTGCGTTTTGGTACGCACGCCGTAGAATTTTTTTTCTTGCGTCACCCTAAATTGGCTTGCGTGCGTTTGTATTTGATTCCATTGAGCGAAATGTCAAATCAAAATGTCACGCAGAACAAAANAAAATTGACAAATAAACTTAAAGGAAATAAAGAAATCATCAAAAAAAAAAATGTCATCCCTCCCATTAAAGCTTAATGAGCATTAAATTTGCATTGTGTTTTCTTATTTTCGTAAACAGTCAAGCCATTTTAAGAGTAACTGTGCCGGGAAATTTTTTTAGCACAAAAAGGGTGCCGCGNGCGCATGAGAAATTTTTGACAGTAAATTGGCGGCGTGCGTGAATATTAGGTTAGCCTGTTAATGAGCATTAAATTTGCATTGTGTTTTCTTATTTTCGTAAACAGTCAAGCCATTTTAAGAGTAGCTGTGCCGGGAAATTTTTTTAGCACAAAAAGGGTGCCGCAGGGACAAAAATTTTGCGAACGCCTGCCCTAGTGTACATACGCGTTAAAAGATTACTTGTTATGCAGTTAAATTAAAAACCAAAAAAGTTTAAATAAAAAATAGTAAAGCTTTTAATATTTTACATATCTCACGTTTTTTAGCCAAGTGTTCCTTAACTAAGTTTTAATAGTACAATGGAATTCATTCGCGAGATATCAATAAAGCGTTAGGCAGCAAATGCTAGAACATATGAATGTAGGTGTGTAAATACATATATAGTTATGTAACATATTTTACTATGAAAGTATATGGTTAAACGAGTATGTCTGTATGTATATTTTAACAGCACAATATGTGTATTAACAGTACAGATTAGCTCTTGTATACATATAAAACTTAGACTAGTCAATAAACAAGGCCATATGGTATCTTAAAATACCTAAGTATTTAGAAAGGGGATTGCGTTTACATGGAGGCTAAAAGTGCAAATGTTAATAAATGTGTTTCCAAATTTCTTTCTTTTTAAATAGAATGATGTTTACACAATCTTAACAATAATCTACGGACTGTAGTAGACATGTATCCGCGGGATGTCATTCGCAAGAATCGGATTACATTCGTGCGGATGGCATATGCATAAATTTTGTCGTACATCATATCATTGTGCTAATGAACAAATATGCCAAAAATAGTATATAGGAAGCTGTTTAATTCATCGGATTTTTTTATGTATGTTACCGGATGACCTTGAACCACATCAACCGTTTTTGATAATTCTTTTTCTTTATCGGAATGGTGGAACCTCGAGGTCGGTGCTATTATAATTTGGTTTAGTTCCGATCGTTTTATCATGAAGAAATTAACGGTACTCTTACATTTTTATATGGGCATTAAAGTCGAATGTTTTTTGTGGTTTAAAAATTGCTTTGTAACCAATTTTAGTGCCGTTTTCTCAAGTACGTTTTAAAATTTATCTGTTCTTCAAACATATTTTATTTTTCAGAACAAAATTTGTGCTTAAGGGGTAGATAAATTTAAAACCTACAGGAGAAATTGGCCCTTAGACTTTTACTTTAACTTGATGCGATTATATTTTTGAATTATGCTATACACTTATCCTTTTACAATTAGCGTGCATAAGACTTAAATCCAGCCGGCAAAATAGGAAAAACCGAAACCGATTAAAAAATGTTTAATACCTTGATTAGCGAGGCGCATACAAATGTACCAAGATTAAGTAAGTTCGATTTAGTCGTAAGTAAGTTCGATTTAGTCGTAAATAAAATATGCATGTGATTGAAGTGTTGAAAAGTGGTTGGATCACTTTCCTTTACGAAATTTCACAAAAATCAAACTTTTCGCTGAAAGGCAACATTGTGAAATATCTAATATGCGTTATATGGGAAGTGGGCGGGGTTATCGTCCGATTTCGAATTTTTTTTAACATCTTACCCTATGTTTGTGTATATCGAATTTCTTGAAGATTCCTATTTTATCATAAATAGTCGGTATAAGTTGGCACAGAAGAGAAACGACTGGCGTGCTTTTTTGGACTCGCCCAAAATCGCTTAGGAGGTTACGGCTCCTAACAAGACGAAGGCGCTTTTACGCCCATTTTTTCAAATCCAATTTTGCGCTGAAAGGCAACGTTGTGAAATATCTAATATGCGTTATATGGGAAGTGGGCGGGGTTATCGTCCGATTTCGAATTTTTTTTTAACATCTTACCCTATGTATGTGTATATCGAATTTCTTGAAGATTCCTATTTTATCATAAAAAGCCGGTATAAGTTGGCACAGAAGAGAAACGACTGGCGTGCTTTTTTGGACTCGCCCAAAATCGCTTAGGAGGTTACGGCTCCTAACAAGACGAAGGCGCTTTTACGCCCATTTTTTCAAATTTTATATTTTCTTTCAAATATTTACTTCTTATCTCAATTTTGAGCGATTCAGTCCCAGCAATTACTGAAATATCAACAAAATGCAAAGCCGCGTATCAAGATAACGCACAACCGCGTATGTGAGGTTGCATAAATCATTTTTTAGAGTAAAAACACTTATATTTCAAAATGGTTTCCTTTTTTATAAAGAAATCGCATTTCTAGCTAGTATATTTCAGGACGAATGGATAAAGATGAGAAAATCCAATGTTTAGCAGCAAATGTCAGTTATGCGATTTGGCAGAATGACGATACGCGATTTTGTACTTTAAACGACGATTTGTAGTTGTCACATTTTTCGAAAATTCCGTTATATGGAAGGTGGCGAGGATTTAGTACATTTGCAATAGCAAGCTTATTGAACCAAGAGCAATCTAGGCACCAAATTTCTTATCTTCCTTCGAATAGCAGGACTATTGAAAGATTTTATTGAGAAACGTTCATAATTTTGCCGACTGGGAAACTAAATCTCAGTGTGAAAACTATTAATCACACATACAATGTTGAGAAAATAAAACAGTCGGACAAATTTTTAACATTTAAATTTAGAAATTTAAATTTAGAAACCGAAAATCATTGGAATAAAGTTTGTTTTTTAAGAACAAAATATTTTAGCCTCAAAAACAATTATTTATAGGATACTAAATTTGTTACTATCTATCTCACTATTTCTTCAAATGGAATTACATTTTCAAATTTAAAATTCGTTTTGATTCATAGTTAGTATATGGATCATGTTCATATGTTTTATATCTAAGTAAACATGTACATATCGTCCCCCTTATGCTAGAAACATGAATGTGTAACAAGTAATTTTTAAGCAAAAAACAAAACCGACTTCAATTCTCATATAATATATATATATATATATCCGATCATTGGATCATGAATTATATATATGTATATACATATATATAATTCATGATCCAATGATCGGATCTGATCCAAAGTTATGCGGTAACATACATAAAAAATAAAAAATAAAATATTCCGACGAACTGATAACCTCATTTTTTGGAAGTCGTTTAAAAATGAAAAGGTTTGAAACAAGGCGAATTTATATAAGGTGGTGTTGTTTATTCAGCTGTGTGTAGCGTTTGATTGTCAAAATTTTATATTTTGCTAGTGAGTGAGTGAAAACGTGAGTGTTTGCATTTTCTGTCGCCCTTTTTCATTCGGAGAAGAATAGCTGAAATTTGACAATCACCAGCTAAAAGCAAAAACAAAATACAGGTAATTGTTGTATTTGTTGAATCGATACCACCTTATATGAATTCCCCTTGGTTTGAAAGTTTTTTTTTATGGTACTTAACTCTAAATCCATGTAATTGACATTGTAAAATATGTGGTTTCCGTGTACGCATGGTATTCTGGGTTTTGGTATAACATAGAACATCCAAAGGTGAATCAAGTCAACCCATTAACTCAGAATTGGTAAATTTACACTTTCATGCTTCTGGCATGGGGGGACGATATACATACATATGTATATAACAGTGCTAAAAGCCTTCCACTTTCTAAATCCCTTCCTCTATATCTACTTTCAGTCTTATTTGACCTTTTAACAGAAACATTTATAATAAATCTTATTTTTGGAAGCAAAAAAATGAAAGTATTTAGCTGGAGTATTTAGCCAATATTTGAAGCGCATGTTTTGCTGCCGCTTTCTTGGCTTGCTTTCCATTTAAGCCAAACCCATTCACCTCCACACTTTTGTCGAGGCATGTAAACTGGCATTTCACCATGTATGTTTCATTGTCTACAATTGGATCGCTGTATTTGGGATTTGCGTGTTTATGATCATTCAACTGTCGCACTGCATCGATGGGTACATCGCGAGAGAACTGGTTGAATTCTTGCTCCAGCAGACCGTATATGACATTCCAAGTAGTGCGCAAGTCTCGACTGTCGAGATAAACAGCGGCAATTAATGCCTCCAGAATGTCACCTAATGCCTTCGGGACATCAACATTCGCTGATAAATTGTAAGTGGCACCCTTAACCTCATCTTCATTCATAACATTCTCCTCCATCAATATGTGCACCTGATCGGTAACATAGTAATTTTGCTTCTCCTGATAAATGGCGAAATTTTTTATAGACTCAGCCAGCACACTATTTTCAGCCAACAAGAATAAATGGAAGCGATGTCGTACGCAGACACAACCCAATGTTATGTTATTGACCAAAGCCGAACGCAAGTCTGTCAACATACCGGGAGTCTTATGACGATAGCGCTCAAATATGAAGCATGAAACCAGGAAGTCAAGTATAGCGTCACCAATAAATTCGAGTTCTTGATAGCAGCCAGTTATCCGATTAGTCGGGTAGGACGGATGCGTTAAGGCCTGAAAAAAGAAGGAAATAAAAGAAATGCAATATGAATGAAGTAAAAACACCTAATAGTCCAGTCAATTTAGACTTTAAGGGGGAAATAAAATTTCTACCCCAAAAAAATACTAGAGTGCTAAGAAAATCCACCTGATTAACATATCCAAACATGCAACCCCAAAAATGTCCATAAATATATTAAACTAGTAAAAATCCCCGAAAATCGGGGTGCTCGTGGTCTAAATAATCTGGATATTTCTTTATTCTAAAAACCACATGCATTGCTTTTGGTAGTTAACTTTAACTTTGGTACTTTGGCAAGATCATACTTTACTCAATGCGTATACAAAGCTGGCCATGCGGGGTCTGACTTTGAGACCTATTTAATTTTGTTGCAGACGCTACAATAATTTTGAAATGGCAACGTTTAAACACAAATGGAAGTGTTGATTCGCTGGACTGTTAATTTTTATGGGGAAGTAAAATTCGTTTCCCTTGTGAATCACATGTTTGAAGTACATTAACTAACCCTATATATATTTATATTGGTATTGCGGCATCCAAACAATTATATTGTAGTTCTTTAACTTTTAAGGCGGGTTCACCGTTCGTGTCCGTGTCCGTTTGCTCTCAAAAGATTTTTGCCGGAGAGGGTGCTGAAGTACGGTTCACCGTTCAGTTCGGCACATTTTATTTTGTTATGAAGCAAACAACTGATGACATTGTTGCCGTCATAGGATTTCAAGGGAAGATAATACATACAATTCGCTGTAAACGCATACAAACTAGAACGCGGTAACCCGAAACATCAAGGCGTTCGGACAGAAAATCAAAATCAATTTGATTCGAACAAAGAGTGTTGAGCACATTTTTGTCGCGCTCTCAGTGGGACAAAGTGGGAAAGGAACGCGTAAAATCACTAACAAATAGTGTCCGGACACGAACGGTGAGTCCGCCTTTAGGCGAGACTATTAACACACCCTTCATATATGCATAAATAAATTTTTAGTTTGGGGATTAACATCACAATTGCTCCAACTTTTAGTATCAAGTCATGAGGTACAACTCCCCTACTCCACTAGCACATGTGGATATTCCGAAACAGCAGTAGATATCGACGCCAAAGTAATATTTTCATCTCCGAACATTTCTTAATTATTTACCGTACAGTGATTATTTTTTGGACACGAAATTGATCGAACCTTCAAGTGGTTTTGATTAATATCCAAAAGCAACATTTTTGTTTTGCAGATCTTCCACTGTATCACATTCTCACGAACATGGCAATTATTTGCTCGATATAAAACAAAAACAGGGACGAAAGCGAATAAATGGAACACTTTTTCATTCTCGTATGTCCCGCTGAGACGCTGCCTATCGAAATGAACGTAGCAATGCTTTGCTCAATGTAAAAATTTTTAAATCTTTCGACGTAAATATTTCGAAAATGGTTCAATGAATCTTAAATCAAAGTTTCAGATCGAGCACTTTAATTTGATGTATAATTTGTCTCTGTACGACTTGTAGATCGCTGGGAATAAGCGCCTTGTTTCAGAATAATATATAGATAATTGAAAACAATTGGTGTTATTGGCGTTGCACAGTGCTTTTTTAGGGGTTTGAGTGATCAATAATCTATAACTTCTGAACGGGTTTAAATTTTTCTTCGCAGTTTTTTTGTGTTCTAAGTAGAAAATTGTTTATCGATAAAGATAACAAAACATTTAAATTGCTCCAATTTTACCTTGAAAAGTTACCCCAAATTAAAAATAAAACAAAATATATGTATATTAGGGCGGGTCAATTTGTATTGGGAATTTTTTCGACTATGCGCGTATACCACAGAAGGATTCTACCCAGTGTTGCCGCGAATCATTTGTAGCCAAATTCCTTCAAAAAGAGGGCTAAAAAAGTAGTTGTGGCTAAAAATGGTAGCTAAAATTGTTTACTTACATATACACATATAAGTATACGCTCAAACATTTTCAATAAGTAATGGTATAGAAAAGCAATGAGCTCTGGAAAAAAGCTAATATTTTATCCAACCAAAAACCTTTTTGTATACGACACCAAAAATAAATAAATGTGCTGCTTGCTCTGCTGCTAATACTTGTTCAATATTTGACACCAAAATTGTGCATTCGCATAAAATAAACAGAAAGTTAGCGATGGAAGAATGAGCAAATTAAAAAAAAGAAGTTTCAAGATGTGGTAGTTTAGTAATTAAGCAAAAAAAAAAAGTGGAATCACTTTTACAAATGTGGTATAGGCCGAACACTGGCTGTTGAGGAAGACTTCGCTGCTACGCACACAAGCGCATGTGTAAAATCAGTTTGAAGTTTGCCAAATTGTGAAATTAGGTTTCTTAGCATTTTGCTGTAGTGTCGTAAAGTGGTAAATTTTGTTTTAAAAACATGCTATAAGGGGTTTTATGGTATGAGGAGTACATTTCTGTACTTATCTTTTTCTTATAACTTCCACCGGAGGGTCCAACAGTGAAAATTTCACATTTTCTTTGAAACCTATTTTCGCAATTTCGCAAACTCCAAGTTGATTTTATGCCCATGGTTTGTTTATTAAATTAAGGAAATAAAAATTGCCGGAATTTTCGGCAAATTTGCTTAGAATTACACGTAGAATCCTCATAAGATATACGCAGCATATAGTAAAAAAAATTAACCACCCTAATGTATATGTTGCCATGCTTGGCCATGTCGTTCGAAAGGATAGAAACGCTCCTGCTCTGAAAGTATTCAACGCGGGCCGCGATGCTGGTAACAGAGGAAGAGGGAGGCCTCCTCTGCGTTGGAAAGACCAGGTGGAGAAGGACTTGGCTTCACTTGGCATTTCCAATTGGCGGCAGTTAGCACAGAAGAGAAATGACTGGCGTGCTGTTTTGGACTCGGCCAAAATCGCTTAGGCGGTTACAGCGCCAATAAAGGAGAAGAAGTGTATTTTATTTTTGTAAGCTGAATAAAAAATATAAACACATAACCAAATAACCTGATAACCAGGCAAGTGTGAACAACCACATTATTTTATCGTTTTTTTTTTTTGTTTTTTGGTATTGGAAAAGACGTATGTAATTACCAACAACAGTAAAAAATAACTAAAAATCGACTTTGTAAACTGACCCGCAAAAGAATTTAAAATTATACAATTTTCATTCAAACTACAAGATCTTCGAAAATTTCATATTTTTTTGCATTGCAAAGCTTCATGCGACTATCGTTAACTTAATGAAAATTATTGATAAAATTCAAATTTTTAATTATCTTTTAAATTTCACCATGTAAAATCAGCCAAAAATTGGTTAGAAATTCATATTAAAGTTGGGAATAATTTTTACATTTTTCCATATTTTTTTGTCCAGCTTGACATTTTTTCATATATACATAAGTGGCACTGCAAAAATATTAATTTTTTAAATTTTACTTTGAAAAAATAAAAACTGGTTTAAAAATATTTATACCAAAACATCTTCAAGATCTGCCGCAACTGACGTGATTAGAGCAACGGAAGATATATCAACAACATTTTCTTTAAATGAGCAATTTGGTCAAACGTACATATACTTGAAGTTATTAATCTGCACTATTTTATGATTCAATTCCCACAGATTCCTGTTAAATTTTTCTAAACCAATTTTTTTCTAAAATTTTACGACTTGACTTTAAAGCAGCCCTTTACGTAAAAACCCGCATTTTCCCGCAGCTAGTTTATATATGTAATTATTTGGATAACTCATAGTAGACGCCTGTATAAATATTTTTTTAGGCTTGTTCTGGTTTAGTATTTAAAAGCTTAGGTAAAAGTAAAAATGTAAGAAATAAACCTTTAATTATCAACACAAAAATTGATGAACTTAGGTTAATACTAATTTAAGAAAAAGCTTACTTTAGATAAACGATTAGTGTATCTTCCAAACAGAAACTTATAAAATATCGTTTGTCGTTATGAACGCTACGTCTCCAAAGTTGAAAAATGTCAATCACAAAAACCGTTTCTTGATGATTGACTAAACTTAGCTGATTTTTAAATCAAATATCTTTCGAACCAAAGTAGACAGAGCCAAACCGAAACCAGATTTCGAAAGCGCAGGGCTTTTTTATATTTAGGTCACAATTTTAAATATTTAATAAAATTTTTTTATGTTTTACCTATTTTTGATCACCCGCACCCCCAAAAAATAGGCATTGTAGGGCATAGCTTCCCGCATCGATTTTGTAGATTATTGTTTCCTCTACAAATTGAGAGTGTATCCTCGATTCGTTGAGTTATAGTGAATTTGTCATTGTTTGAGGCATTGAGAGGTGAATTTTCAATTGTTTTTCATTAATTAACTATGTTTGCGAATATTTTTAGGAATGCATGTTTGGATATGTTAATCAGGCGAATTTCCTGAGCACGCTAGTATTTTTTCGGCAGAAATTTTATTTTCGGTTTTTCGGGTTTCGGGTTTTTATGGACAAACTGGCAAAATTGACAGGACAAAAGATAACTGTATAAAGAATGTACACGAAAAAAACTGGTCACAGTTAAAACGTTCTAAAACATAAATATATTATTGGAATTCAACGATATTTACATATATTTACATCTAAACTTAGTTTTAATGAAATTCGTTAAACAAGAGTTAATTCTCCTTGTAATAAGCAAACGATCGCAATTTTGACTTTATGTCCTTCATTAGCCCTTGCACAGAAGTTTCAGTGATTTCCATGGAAACCAGCTGCCATTTATTTTTGAATTGTTGTGCGTTTTTTACAGCTTTGTGGGTCTTAAGAAGTTTGGATTTCATAACGGCCCAGTAGGTTTCGATCGGCCGATGCTCTGGAAAATTAGGTGGATTCACCTCTTTTGCTACAAAATACACTTTGTTTCTATGCTACCATCCTAAAGCCATTTTTCCGTAATGACATATCGCGAGATCAGGCCAAAAAAGCACTGGATCTTTATGAAGCCGTATAAGAGGTAAAAGTCGCTTTTGCAGACACTCCTTAACATAAATTTATTGGTTAATTGTACCAGTGCTTACAAAAGGATCACTTTTGAAGCCGCATTGGCAAATTGCCTGCCAAATGAGAAACTTTTTGGGAAATTTGTCAAACTTTTTGTTTTTATATTTATCTGCAACATTGCCTCTTTTATTTCCAGTGTGAAATTCGCGACCCCGGATTTGTTTAAAATCGGCTTTTACGTACGATTCGTCATCCATAACAATACAGCCAAATTTTTGTATGAGACTGTCGTACAATTTCCGAGCACGTTGTTTCGCCAACAAATTTTGCTTACCGTTGCGATTAGGTGCTGCATTCACTTTGTAAGAACGTAGTCCGGCTGTTTTGCATACTTTTTGTATATACGAAGACGACATGTTTAATTTTTTGCCGACATCTCTTACCGAAAGTCCAGGATTTTTCTTAAAAGCAGATAACACTTCCTTTGCCTTAATTCCGCAAGCAAATCCTTTTTTTCTGCCACTACCAGGGTTCCTTTTTAAAGATAAACATTCATTGTATTTTTTAAGCACATAAGTAACGGTAGACTTTGGAAATTTTAGCTTTTTTGCGATGTCGTTATGGAACATGCTGGGATTTTCCAGCTTTTTGCGCAATATTAACTCGCGATCGATTTCTTTCTTGGTCCTCGTTTCTACACTGATTTTTGTTACTAAAAAGAAATGATGCAGTAAGGTGGAAAATGCTTCCAGCTTTTTAAGTGTCTACCGATTTTTATTTTAATGTTATGATTAACCGAGCTATGCTTGGTTATGTGCGACCAGTTTTTTTCGTGTACATTCTTTATATGGCGCACGCTTTATATATCGTTTTTTCTTGTTATGCACAGCTGGACTAAGAGAAATGTGTGCACCAACTTGAAATATTTTTTAATATTCCCATGAAGATTATATCAACCTAATTTTTATTGAAAACGAGAGCGTATAGTTCATGTCTGTGGTCATAAGCAATAACAGCCTAAGTCGAAAAACCCGAATTCGAGAAAAAAAACGTTTTAAACATTTGGATTGTAATGTTATCCTTATGGGGATAGTCTATTTGGCGAGATGCGGATTTCACCATACGCATGGAATAGTGGTTGAAGAATACGATAGTATATCGAGGGCTTATATTCGATACCCTCTATCTGCACTTTTCACAAAACTGAGATTCTGATAAAAATAAATAAGTGTCATCGTTGATATTAATGGTGACCTTGTATAACGCTTGACAGAAGAACTTACTATTAAATTGCAATGTCCCAGATGGGTTCTAACATCACAAAGTAGTTTTTGTGAAAAATTGCAGATACAGGGTATTGAATATAAGCCCTCGATATACAACTCCATTCTTTCTTAAGTCAACTTAGGCGGTTATTGCTTGTGGCGAGAGATATTTTACAACGCAAAAACCTCTTTCTTAAAAATTAAGTGTTGCGAGTAAAATCTCCCACCAGTTATAATGGAATGGAATTTATCAAAATTATAGTGATATGGAACATGAGCGTGTTTATTGTCAGATTTTGCACATTTTCAATACTATCCGTACTTAGCCATACAAAACTGGAACTTATGGTGTACACAAACGTTTGGGCGCAAAAATAGTAGGTCGATTACGGATAGCAACGCAAGCACGGTTCGGCTGCCAGCTGAAAAGGCAACTGGAAAGAAAATTTGTGCTACGAATGGTAGCTATCGTCAGTTGCTGTAGAGTTATCGATAATCGAAATTTGAAGGTTCGACAACCGGCAACGACAACAAGCTGTGCTAGTAAAATGAAATTATTAAAATAAAAAGTATTAAATGAAAGTCAGCAACAATGCTAAGTTCAGTACAATTATTTGTTTAAAGGGGAGAGAATTTCAATCAAGCGGCATTTAAAGGATAATTCCAATCCTCTAGCAACAGCCTGCACTGTAACAAAAGTTAATGCTTTCAAGGTTTTTCTTTTATTATCTTTTTGGGTTCACATTCAAAGCATATTCCAAACTTCCAAGAGAAGCTTTATTATATATGGTTAATAAACAGAGAAACGACTTCGTATACCTCTGCTCCTAAAAGCGTGCGCACCGCTTTGATTTTTCTCAGAAGGGAGTCCCACAGAAATCACTTTAATTTGGAAAATTTGGTATGTCGGTGGTTTTAAAAGAGGTGCTTCAGTTGATAGAGGAAGAAATTTGTAACTAGTTCGCTTTTGATTCACCAAAAGCACGTTCACCACGAAAACTAAAATTTCAAATTGTTTTGTTTTAATTTTCACGGTGTAAAAGCAAAATACATTGCAAAATGTTAATTTCGCAAAAATGTAGGTGCCTGTATACACACTTTATATGCAAATGTAGCTGAAGTTCGGTTGCTATCGATAATCGAGCAAAAAATAGTTGAATCGAATTTCTTTTTATTCTATCTATATCTACCACAATTTTGTTACGAGTGCTACAAACAACCGTTGTGCACAATATATAATATATCGTGGTGCACGAGTGCGCCCGAGTATAAAAAGTATTCAAAAATTGTATGCATGTACTAGGGCGGGTCGAAAATCTAATTTTTCTCAAATCCCTTGGTAATAGTGAAAATATATTGTATCATGAAGTCAACCACAAGCCTGCAAAATATTAGTATTTAATTTTAGTTGTAAGAGCCCGCGCATCGACCGCCAAGTGATCCACAGTACACTCGTCGAATAAGACCAATTCTTGTTAAAAATTCTGGGTTCAGCAAAAGGGTTTGGTGCATATTATTAGATAATGAATCCGTTTACGCAAAAGATAAAGTCAAATTTCATTTCTCGCAGCCCTTTAGCTTATCGTTAATCTCAAAGTTATCTGTTTTCAATAAAATTTTAATTGTTCTCTTGATAATTGCACTGCCCAAAAGTCAAAAGATGTAAAGAACAGCTTTAATATTGCTAGCGTGCGTTTGGGTCGCTGGTTCCAAATATTCTAATCTTTTTTTTTAATATTAGCTATAGTTCGCGAATTTTCGCAAATTTTCGGAACAATTTCGGTAACTCTAATAGAAAAGCCATTATTTTCCATCATCGTGGAAAAAGTTTGTCTATGCAAATGAGTATGGAAACACTGAACAGGCACAACTTCTAGAAACACTAATTAGTCTACTTAGGTTTATGCATAAAATATAAAAATTGCAAATATAAGAAAATGACGAAAAATTTGTTCTAATTTTTTTTTTAATCATTTGTTTATAATCCGAACAATTTTAATCATATTATTATCAAAAATCAGTAACATTAAGTCTCGCCTTCAATTTGGTAATTATTAGGTACCGATCGAGTAACATTTACCAAAGTTATATCGATAAACATAAGTGGATCTCCAGTTTTTTTCTAAAAAAATGTCTCTTCAATTGTATAAATAACCGGATTACAGAAAAGTGTGCCAGGGAGTGACTTTTTTCGTTCAAGCTAAATGCAAAGCAATATCGTCCAATTGGAGAGTTTTCAAAAGGATGTCCCAGGATATATTAAAGACTATTGCATTTACCTACAGTCACTTTTTCACATAATGGAATTAACTAAAATATTTATGTATATCTAAACACTTATTACACGTCCCCTACTTTCATATAACGGCAGATTTAGAAACCGCGAAAAATTTTCAAGACTGCATAAATGGACTTAAAATAGGTGTTTCTCACCCTAAAGTATTATGTTAATGTATGTAAATACTGATATGCTTGAAACTACTATTAACTTATCAAACGATTCCTAATCTTTGACAATACATGTTTGACTTCATTCACAACAATCTTGAAAACTGACCAAATCGGCGTGACCAAGTCCATGGCCCTCTTAATATTAGCTGCATTTTTTTGTAAGCGAGGGACAAAAGAACGCTCAACTCGGGTAAAATTTCCTTTTAGCTACTTAAGCAACCCTGTTAGTAGCTGGCAATAAAATGTGAGTAGTTTAACGGGATCTAGATACAAAAACCAATTTAAATTAGTATTTGCGTAATATATATACTCTTTTAAAATATAAGTAATGTATATAAGTAATTTCCCTCCCCATTTTCCCATTAACAATTCACAATAGAGCAGTTTTTTCACTTACCAACACTACCCTTCTGGTCGCGTATTTTTTAACCGACCTGGCTGAGCTCGGATAAATAGCCGAGTTTGTGTTGTTGCTTTTATTTTTGTTGTTGCTTATAACAATTAACGCATTCATAGATAATACAAGCCAAAGTTTAATTTATAAAATTCATACACTTTGATTATATTGCGCGGGCTAAAGATAAGTTTTAAATTAATCTTTCGTGGCCAATAACAATTGGCTTAGACCAAAGACATCATAATATTACTATTACAATACGGTCAAATGCCTTTTATTTTCCCAATACAAAATCGACCCAGCCTAGTATGTACATTCGAAAATTGGCACGTACCTGTAATAAGTATGCACGATCGCGGAACTTATATCCCAAATTCTCCTCCAATTTTGGATAGTTGATTAGGAAACTATCGACCTCACGGGCCGAGATGTTTGCATGCAGCAACGGGCTGCCCAACTTCAAGTCCATTAAACGCATGAAAGATTGGCCTGGTTCAGGTTTACAGATTCCAAAGAATTCCAACATGCGGAAAGTATTGTAAATGCCGTAATTCTTCACACAAACACCGAGTATAGCTTCCATGGTGTCAGCAACGACTTTATCGCGCAAGGTCTCTTTGTATATAAACAAATTTAATTCATTGTCTAGTCTTGCCTCCTCCGCTGCTGGTCCCTCGATCATTTTATGCGTTTGAGTGCTACAAGCGACCAATTTACTTAAATTATCGGTAGAGCAACATCCGTTGGCAATCTCGTCGTCATCCAGTTCAATCGCATATAAATCACTCGGTGTTAAACATTTCATAATGTTCTCATTACTCTCAATGAGTTCTAGAATATTTCGTGGTAAGCTGATTAATGGAGGCAACCATTCATGTGGAGGTTTGAATAAGTAACCACAAATTCGTTCCGGTATATCGTATCGAGCATACAGTAGATAAGATTTTTATTCGAGACAAGCTTCCCTTTGATTTCAGTTAAGAATCCCTCATGCCATTTTGGATACTTATGCACCAAATATAGAGAGATCGAAAATTTAAGAAACGAATCCCCCAAAAACTCAAATCGCTCCATATCAAAGACGTCATTTGCGCCAGCTGTGGTGATGGCAGCCAAAAAATCGGCCTGCTCTGCGGTCTGCATCGTCTGTCCGCTCAACGTCAATTCGAGTATGTGCAGCCGTCGCTTATCAGCCAAAGGGGCATCGCATAGCGACATGCGAGCCACATTGTTTTCGAATGCTAATGTGACTGATTTTAGGCATGTTCAACTGTGATTGCGACGGCGACCATTCGTCCTCACTCAATTTTAAGGCATCTAATTCCATCGCTAAGCCGGATATGAATTTGTAGTAATAGTCCAATTCAACGGGGAATATCGAATCGGGCTTCCGAGAAAAGTCTTCGGGCTCCATGTATTCCTTCCAGGCCACTGTATCAGTTAGATTCATCACCTCATATTCGACTTTGGTGGAGCGGGTGGGCAGTGCAGGGAGTAGTTTTTTCGGCTCCTACAGAAAATATACAAAAATCTTGTATTATGTAACTGCTGAGGGGGCTCAACTGGAAATGTACATATGTTAAAAAAGGCACCTTTGCAAAAGACTAATTTATAAACATATATAACATTTTGGGCCTTGGATGAGACGATAAATTTATTATCAGACAAGTTCCATGCACACATAAGGGATTCACAATTCAATTTTATGTTTACTCTACTGTTTCTCTTGACAGCAGCCGGCCAAATTTTTACTTTAGTTCGTGCAGTTCTGATCTTTTGAATAACCGTCTTTAAGATTACGATTGGAAACATGTATTGAACAATATGAACGCTAATGCTGAATTTAAAGTTTTTAAAAGCTGTATATGTATATCGTCGCTACCATGTCAAACTATCGAATGTACAACAAAAACTCAAGCGACTCAAAAATCGCAATAATTTGCGTTTTAAAGATTTAAGGCAATCAGGTGTCAATCTCTCTTGGTAAGATATCAATAGATAGGTGTTTCTTCGGAAATGGCGATTTTTGAGATCTTAATTTTTCGCCGTGGAAATATGCCTACTGAGCCAAATGAGACAGGTTTTATGGTACTTTTGGACAAACTCGAAATATCTAAAACTACGGGGTAAAAAAACTTCTTTTTTCTCATTTTTAATGAAATTAGGTATTAGTTCAATTTATTAATTTCATTTATTTAAAAGAAAACAAAAACATATTTAAACTTCAAAATTAATTTGTAACAAGGAAGTAGCAAATAGCCGCTTCAATCACTGAATCAAATCACGGCACAATCACGATTTTCAAAGCCCGAAAAGTACAAAGACGATTTCAATATACGGATTGAAACGAATATTGTATCAATCACCGCGCACCTCAAACGTTATTTCTCCAGCTTTCTTCTTCTCGTTCGTCAATGGTCCACCATTTAAATCCCTAGTTTTAGATGTTGACGATTTTCTGTACTCCTCACTTCTTGTGATTGACTTCTTGCGATGTTTAGATGGAGTAGTACCATAATTTGTAGATCCGAGGTTGAAATGAAAGCAGGTCTTTCCCGGAAAACAGTGAAAGCAACTCAAAGAGCTGAAAGAAATCACTAGCGGGTTAATCTTCGCCCAGGTGTATTGATGAACTTTCCTAATTCCAATGAAAGGCTTCACGTCTGTTCGTAGTACAGCTTCAATACCGTCTGCTGTACCCTTTCCGTGTCCAGCTTCACTGAAATTTTATGTGATCTCTGTTATTTGAGGATATTGTCCAGGGAGATATTGTGTTATCAGGTGAAACAATGTTCTGTTTCTGTATTGGATACTGAGGCTATCACTTAGAAAATGTAATTTCGTCACAGTTAGTAGGGGAGCCCCGATGCTAAATCGGGATTTACTCGAGCGTCATTTTGACTTATTGGATTTTGAAGATGATATGATGGCAAGAAAAAAATGTCATGTGATGTTTTTCCATCCAGCGGTGGGTAGAAGATCTACAGGCTTCTAAAAATGTAAAAAAAAAAAAACAGTTACATGGATTTACTCGAGCGCGTCAGATACTGATAGTGAATAAATCAAACGTGACGGAAATATGCTAATCTGCCGGTTTGCATGGTGCGGTTGGGCGTACGGAATGGTCAAAAATTGGTGACAAAAAAATTTACTCGAGCGCGTCAGGTATACACAAGGAATGCTAAATGGGCCCGAATGAACCCCTCATTCAATAATCTGACGATTCAGATGTGACGAAAGGTCGTGGCGTCTTCTCGAAGATGCGAAAAAATCGCCATTTGGATTTACTCATCAGGATTTACGCGTCAGATTTTCATACAGAAGGTTCATCTCGATGCCCTTGTCGTCCTGTTCCATAATCTGATGATTATTTGGAGGGATTTTCTTAATTTGACGCTTTAAAAAAATAATTTCGTTTCTGAGATGCACAGTCAACCGAACATACATTATTGGCTGCGTTTCTTTATACATTCCAGATAATCTCATATCACAGCCGGAACAAACAGAATACATTTGAAATATACGTTAGCATATCATCAGGAATATTCTAAAGAATAAGTAAACAAAAAAGTTTATTCCAAATGTTCAGAATGAATAAAGAAATGCAGCCATTGTAAACACTTATTATTTTATCCGGTTGGACTTGGTCGTCAATTTCTTCTATGTTTTCTAACCGACTTGAGAAATAAAAAACCGATTTGACATCAAATTCGAGTCAATACACTCAATTATTCGTCATTTCCTGGAACAAATCTAGAATACCGACCGTTCAGCTATGCAAAAACGAAAAATGCAGATCAATAGAACTTTTTATGCTCAGTTCAACCATGCCAAAATTATTTGGCGCAAGTAAAAAATGAAGACGTTCTAGAAGGTTAAAGTTCAGTTTTTAGATATTTTAAATATTAATATCTTATGAACTATATAACCGATTAAAAAACTAATGACGCCACCATAAAGGTAATTAATTTGTTCTTCAGCTGATGTACACAATTTAGTTTTTTGTATTTTTAAACCAAAACCAAAAAAATAACCTTTTTTTAAAAAAACTGCATAATTAATGGTAAAGAAATTTATATTATTTAGAAAGTGCAAGTTATTATCTTTAATTCGATATTACATATTTTATCATGATCTACTTTTGGGTTTCAACAATTTAGTAATAGTAAAAATACAAATAAACCTCTTATATATTCTTTATTTTTTACCAGCGGCAAATAAATTTGGTATCGTTGAAATCAGCGTAAAAGGTTCTATCAATCGGCATTTTTGGTTATTTCATAGCTAAACGGTCGTATTCTACACTTGCTCTAGAAAATTACGCAAACGAAGGTGATGCCAACGAATATTTAGTATGAAGAATTTTTGGTTTTACTACTAATATCACTAGAAACTATAGAGTAAGCAACATTTTGCACAAGTAAAGGAGCCGATTTTATGTGTGGGAGCGAGAAGACTGTTTTATTACAAAACCTTTCTATTATTGAATCATGCACGAAGGCATATTTAACAAGGTAGAAGGGATAACTAGCTCGAACTCTCCTGTAACTAGTTATAATGTCAAAAAACTGTAAACAAACAAATTAACCCTATGAGGTGCGCGTGTAGTAATAAGAGCGAGATGAAAGATTTGACCCTATCTTATTTGAAAATTTGCCTTTAAAAATTTGTATAAAATAGCCGCATGCCAGGAAAATAAAGCGAGAAAGCTTTTTTAGTACTTCACCTGCTTATAATTTCACCATAGAAATGCATCAGCATAAATACATACGTATACTAATTTTAAGGATTCCCAGCAAAAAATCGGTAATCGCTTTTAGTGGTAACGTGTTCTAGAAGGCATAGCGTTATAATGCCGAATTTTCGAATTTTTTCGCTTCTTTTAGGCATTGCCGGTAATGCAAAGTAGAATGTCCTACAATATTTTATTTATTTCGCTTCTTNGAATGTCCTACAATATTTTTTTTTATTTCGCTTCTTTGCTTCATTTCGGGGAATGCAAAGTAGAATGCTGCATCGTAGTCAGCTGAAAAATAGAATGAATATCCAAAAATTCTTTTTATACCGTTACTTTCTGTGGAAATTTGTCTCGCATAAAAATCATGTTTTTCTTTGTTCAATTTGCAGCGAAGTTGAAGTCAGTCAATGAAGTGAAGTACAAGAGTGAGGAAGTACAATTTTAAGCTTAATTAAATGTGCATTTATGTTCATCCGAGTTTTAAGTAAAATCTAAATACATTACATGCCCATGTTAAAATAATGCCTTGAAGCGGGAGGGCAAGCGATTCCCACCGCCTAGCTCGTTTCCACTTTCGTTTCTGTGGTAATCGTGTTTTTTGCTGGGTTACTTCAATATTCCCTTCACAGAATTTTAGCTGCATCCGCATCTTATATGCACATATACTAATGGACAGAAAAGAATACCTCATAACGGAAACCACGTAATTAAATGAAATAAATGTTTTATGAAACTGTTTTAAACATTTTTTTTTGTTTCTATTCGCCCAATGTTTTTGCGCGTTTAGTTAAATATTTACTTCTAAAAAACATCCCCACTTATAAAAAATGATTTAATGTTTTCTTCTACATACGTATGTATATCAGTGTAAATCTAGGTCCTGACGCGGTTATGTGTGCATAATATTGTAAGAAAATTCTCTTACTCAGTTCTGAAATTCCGTTGCTTTAGGCAACCAAGTCTTCTAACTTCGCAACTAGGTACCTTAAAGTATCGCACCACTTTGCACACAATGCAACGCTCGTAGTTCCTGCTCCTTTTCATTTTTGTATATGTATGTATCTACAAATGCATGTGGTCGAAAAACAAAAAAAAGTCACAATTCAAAACTATCTCAAAGCACAATTGAATTTTTAATGAAAATTA